GACACAGTACATTTAGTACATTATTTCTTATTTAACAAGAAGTATAAAAGTTTACAGTTTCCCAGCTACTCAGGAGGCTGAGGCAGGAGAATTGCCTGAACCCAGGAGGCGGAGGTTGCGGTGAGCCGAGATCGTGCCATTGCACTCCAGCCTGGGTAACAAGAGTGAAACTCCGTCTCAAAAACAAAAAAAAGAAATTTTACATTCTTTTTTCATATTAAGGCTCTGAATCTGTTGTGTATTTTACACTTACAGCACGTCTCAGTTGACACCAGCCACACTGCCCATGTTCAATTACCAAGTGTGGCTCATGGCTGCCATATTGGACACCCCAGTTCTAGAGCTTGGGAGTCCCTTCCCCGACATCTGCCCTATAACCTACTCCTCTGGGGTAGGAGGCAGAGAATGTGGATCTAGATACAGCATATCCTCAGATGACAGTGGGAGGGGTTTGGGGAGAGGAGTGGTGGACAGAGTCTGGGAGTGTCCCAGGCCAGGTAATTACAGGGAAGGGAGGAAGGAAACCGTGTCTATTAAACCTCAAACTGGGGCCTTTCCTCCTGAGCAGTAGGTGGAGCCAGGAAAGTGCTCCAAAACTCACAATGCTCCAAGTCCCTCATTAATCAGAATACTTAATTCTGGCTCCAAGTTGAGTTATTTTCCTTACCTTCTCCAGGAAGCTTTCCCAGATAAACTCTCCAGTCTTAACTGATAGAGACCTTGTCTCTAAAAAAGTAAAATAATTAGCTGGGCATGGTGGCACACGCTGGTAGTTCCAGCTACTTGGGAGGCTGAGATGGGAGAATCTCTTGAAACTGGGAGGTCAAGGCTGCAGTGAGTCAGGATTGCTTTACTGTGCTCCAGCCTCGATAACAGAGCAAAACTCTGTCTCGAAAAAAAAAAAAAGAGATGAAGAGAGAAAGACTATGAAACAGCTTCCCATGCCCACCTTGTACTGAGAACCATAGAAAGTGAACTAGGAAAGATCTGATATTGCCTACTCAGTCCCCTCACTTTACAGATGAGTAAACAGAGGCCAAGAGACTAGGAATGACTTGGTCAGGGTCGCAGAAATTGGTGGCAGAGCCAAGTCTTAACCCATATGTTGCCTTGTGGGCTACTGTTTGGGGTGCTGCACAGTCAGACTGGTGGCTCTATTCCTCCCCCATCAGGCTGGGAGAGTTCCAGAGAGTGAGTAAGCAATTCTGTCTTCTCTCCCCTTAAGGATAAGAGAGGCATCTGGAATGGAAAGCATGGTAATCTTATGAAAACAAACACAATCTAAAGCACAGAACCACATTCAACAACAAGCTTTTGAAACCCAGCTGTCCCCCCACCCTCCTCCAAGGCATTTCTCATTAGATTTAACAAATTTAATAGGAGGAAGTGGGGAATGCTAAAGAGATGAGCCCTCCAGCCTCCCCACCTCCCCTCCACCCCACTCCACTGAGGGGGGCATAGACCCAGGATTATCCCAGGAGCCTGAGTGGCCCAAGCAGAAGCCAAGCCCTAAACACTCCAGAGTGACCAAGATATCTGCTACTTCAGGCTTCTGCTTCCTTTTCCAAGAGTCTTTGAGCTATAGCAGTTGGTGGGAGTCCCTACACGGCGGTGGGGTATCTGTCTGGGGGAGGTCCAGGGCTCTGCTGCTGCCCAATTCTTTTGGGCTAAAGTTTCCTCCTCTGTGTTCCCTTCAGAACATACACTCTTGGTCACAGCCTTACTTCTTCCCTAAGCCAAGTCCCGGGAATCTATTTCAGGACTTGTTTCGCCCACTCTGCCTGACGTCTGTGACAAGCTGGGTGCTAGGGAGTCCTCACCATCTGCCTACCTCCGCCACCAGCCAGGCAGTCCCAGGTGGCGCTCAATCCTTAGCCCCAGAAAGTGAGCCCAAGCTCACTCACTGTCTCTGCAAATCCTCTGCTGAGTTGTTGGTGATTTTATTCCTTGCCACCCAAAAAGCAAGGACACCTTTACTGGCAGTTCTGGTGAAAAAAAAAAAAAAAAACGCCAGATGCGGTGGCTCATGCCTGTAATCCCAGCACTTCAGGAGGCTGAGGTGGGCAGATCACAAGGTCAGGAGTTCAAGACCAGCATGGCCAACATGGTGAAACACTGTCTCTACTAAAAAATGCAAAAATTAGCCGGGTGTGGTGGTGTGCGCCTGTAGACCCAGCTACTCAGGAGGCTGAGGCAGGATAATCACTGTAACCTGGGAGGCAGAGGTTGCAGTAAACCGAGATCACGCCACTGCACTCCAGCCTGGGTGAGAGAGCAAGACTCTGTCTCAATCAATAAATCAATGAAGAATAAGAAGAAGAAGAAGAAGAAGAAGAAGAAGAACAAGCAGAAAAGCAACAGCACTGTAATGTCTCTCCTACCGTATACACACATCTCAACTTGAAGAAGCCTGGAAATCTGGAGATGGAGGAAGAGGAAGCTGGATTAAATTTCCCTCCCACCCAAACCTCTGCACAAACACATACACTTTGGCAGTATCTATGACAACTTTAAATACATATACCCGGCCGGGCACAGTTGCTCACGCCTGTAATCCCAGCACTTTGGGAGGCCAAGGCAGGCGGATTATCTGAGGTCGGGAGTCCGAGACCAGCCTGACCAGCATGGAGAAACCCTGTCTCTATTAAAAATACAAAAAATTAGCCGAGCATGGTGGCGCATGCCTGTAATCCCAGCTACTTGTGAGGCTGAGGCAGGAGAATGGTTTGAACCTGGGAGGCAGAGGATGCGGTGAGCTGAGATTGCATCATTACCCTCCAAACTGGGCAACAAAAGAGAAACTGTCTCAAAAAAAAAAATGCATATACCCTTTGACACAACAATTGAACCTCTAGGAATATATCTTATAGGAAATCTTCCCTGAGTGTACCAAAAATATATATATGCAAGGAGGACCATGGCTGTGGGCAGACATGAGATTTAATTAATTAATGATGGTACATTCATACAATGGAATCTCATGTGGTCATCAAAAAGAATGAGAAAAATCCAGATAGAAGCCTTTCCTTCTGAAGCCCCTCCTCCAGAGGGCAAAGATGGCAGTGGTGTCATGGAATAATGGAACGCATGGAATAATGTCCAAGATATAAATGAGAAAAGCAAAACTATTTGCTTCATATAATCCCATGTAGGTTCTATAGACATACCTCTTTTGTACATACAGAGAAAAAAATATCCGGAAGAATACATAAAAACCTGTTCACACCAGGCCAGGTGGCTCACGCTTGCAATCCCAGCACTTTGGGAGGCTGAGGCGGGCAGATCATCTGAGGTCAGGAGTTCGAGAACAGCCTGACCAACATGGAGAAACCCTGTCTTTATATATTTTTTAAAAATAAATAAATAAACCTATTCACAACGGTTAGCTCTAAAGTTGAGATTATAAAGTGTCTTTTCTTTTTTTTTTTTTTGAGACAGGATTTCACTTTGTCCCCCAGGCTAGTGTGCAGTGGCACAATCTCGGCTCACTACAGCCTTGACCTCCCAGGTTCCAGGGATGCTCCTTCCTCAGCCTCCCAAGTAGCAGGAACTACAGGCATGTGCCACCAATGCATGGCTAATTTTTGTATGTTTTGTAGAGATAGGGTTTCGATTTGTTGCCCAGGCTGGTCTTGAACTCTTTTTTTTTTTTTT